TTCGTAGACGATTAGTTTCGTTTGTAGGAGAAATAAGGTGGGGGGGGGAGTGCACAGATGGAAAAAATATGTTTTCTGCTACATTTCCTCAGAATGCAATTAAAAGCTGAACTATATAAAACCTTAAAACATGAAAATAAAATTCACTGAATATAACAAATACTAGAAGGGACTTACAGAAGAGATGACCGGGCAGTGTTAGAAACAGGTTTGATTTTTTTGCCTCTGACAAAATGCTCAAATTAATAACTGGGCTAATTTTAAACAGTTTTGAACATTGCAAGATCAGCAAAATGACTACAAACTAGGTGAACATTAAAACTAGCCCTGACTGAATATAAGTTGGCAAAAATATCTCTGTTTAATATTATACCTTAACAAGTCAAAATATAATATTTAAAATTCTATTTTTAGGAAGTTAGAAGGAAAACTCCTGAGGTTATAATTGTAGTATATGATGCGTCCAGCCAACATTTCCAAAAGCTGGGAACTATGTACACATCTTCTTTAATACACTGTTGGTCTGACAGGCTGGGTAACTGACTAAGAATGTTGAAACTAACTTTCAGTGAACATCGTTTTTTGGACTGGGGAAGGAATTCAAGGGATATATAGAAACTTTATTAAAAACATTATTGGAATAAAGGTTTTTTTGTATTCCCACTGAGCTTTTTTTTTTGCTTTTGTTCATTCAAATCGGCAGAACTTCATATCATGTCAGAATTTGCTCTTGAAAATTCTCTCAGTTGCCATATTGCATGGATGGGGATAAGTAGGCTGGTGGTCAAGAAACTGAAGTCTAAAACTCTCTTAGGTATGTAAAACTAATTTCAGTTTTTAAAATCTAGGACAACATTCGAGAATCGGTAACGAACATATTGGAGATGTTGGCATTTAAAATACTTGCACGCCCTGACATATTGAAAGACAAAATTTACTTTAAGTCGGAAACGCTCACTCAGCTTGGCTGATAAAGCTGTCCAAGACAATGCTCCTTTTTTCTATTTCACTTTCAGTCCCAGTACAATATTTGCATTTTTGACCATTTAATCACAAAGTGGTGATACTGATTTGTCTAGAGCCATTTCTTAAAGAAGCTCCTTCCTAGATTGTGTGGATTTTTTGGGTGGTGGTGGTGATGATCTTTTAGTCTCACAACCAATGGTCTCTGCTTTTGCAGATGTGTAATTGTAATTCTTGTAAGACAAAAGTTCAAGTATTATTTTTATTATTATTTTACGATGAATGATATCATTGTTAACTATTTTATCTAGAAGTTTTATTGAAAAGTTTTTAAAAGTTTCCTTTTTTCACTCCTTTGAGATGAAGGGCAATATAAAAATATATTATTGCTATCATCATCATCATCATCATCATCATCATCACCATAATCACCATCTGAAAATTTAAAAGCACTCTTACTGGTTGTAATGGTCTATTTCCAACAAAGGTAGTCTGCTTGCTCCTTGAAATATGAGCGTGGGAAACACAGAAGGTAACATCCCTAAAAACTATATGCCTTAATAACAGTTCATATACTTTATATGCAAAAGTCCTATTCTTTGCATACCCATTTAAATGATCTCAGCTAGTTGGCATCACACAGATTTCTGCCTGTGATCTGGGAAAGTTGCAGTCAGTTTAAATGTACTGGAGAACTTTAAATGTTCACATTTAGGATTCTGACTTAAAAGGTAAAAAAACAGTGAAGAAGCTAAGCTTCCTTGGTACATCACACTTCCTGGACATTACAAACACATCCAAGAATTTATTCTTTTGATTACTAATGGGGCAATTATTTTGCTAAAACAAAATTAAAACAAATCTTCAAAGAGCTTTACTTCTTAAATGGAGATTGAGAGTTCAGTATACAACTCAGGGCTTGTTCAGATCATCATTGGGAATTAGTGAACTTGGACTTACTTAGTCCAACAAAAACAGACCTTTATTATATTCCCTGAAGCACTGTCATTGTTGTAACATCTCATAATGAAAGAAACTTCTAGCTATTTTTTGGGTGGATAACATGGTTATAGAATCCCATGATTTGCCTTAATCATGTACTTAGGAATTACATCTGAGATGAATGTAGGGGACAATGAAAACCATGCTAATCTAATATTAAATTAAGATGTTATATTAACATTTCTTAACTTGGTGTCCTTCATGTATGTTATCATTGCAAGTCTCAAACTTTAAATTATGGGAGTTGTAATTTTGTTATATCTGTAGTACACAGATTGCTTCTGTGCTGATTAATTGCTTCTAACCATCCTCCTCCATTCATATGAACTGCATTTCAGTATAAAATAGGATACAGTGGAAGAAAAATGTTTGTGAAAATGAAAACATAATTCTAATATTTCTAGAGAAGTCAATAATGCCTTTTACCTCCCTCCTAGATGAAAGTTCACAAACTTGTACATTATATTTACTCTAATCTGTATAAAAATTGATTTAGTGAATATACATACTCATCATGAATGATGGTCGGGCCATCTCTTGTTAAGGCCTCTTCCTTGATTATATTGATAAGCTCAAAGGTACTGCTGATTGGGGCATCTGGATTTGGCCATTTGGGGCACTGAAAGTGGCGAACTTCCAAAACATAATCATCCTGAAATGAAAATCAACCCAACTATTCACCATTTTAATTCCAATTCTATACTGAAAAAAA